CGCAGACGGCCCGAGCGGAGTTTCATGTAAATGTTTCGTACGGGAAAAAAATCGCCACCGGGCTGGCGAGTAAGGTATGTTGAGTCCATTGCAAGTTGTAAACCAATCAGAATATTACATCATTCGGGGCAACTTGCAATGTTTGGGATATGTTACTCCGCGAAACCTTTGCAAACACTAGAAGTGTGACGTGTTCTCTGGCGATTAGTATACTGTGTACTGAAGTTTCGAAGTTTGAGCCGTACCAGTTTTTTTTTTTTAATAATTCTAAATAAAAACAACCATTGAACAAGAAAATAAAACTATAGATCGTTATATATGTAGGTATAAGATACTTTGCTGAAGTTGTACAGGCCCAGGCCTAAGTTCTAGGCTACATTATAACCTATAAGAAGTGTCGCCGGCCGACTGTGTGATGCCAATTTTTCGGGCTTAAAACGAAGCCTAAATGGCCTCTGACAAGAGCTGGAATCTCAGCACTCCCGAAATGTTGGTGAAAACTCTGGAACTCTGTTTAGGTTGAAATTATTATGTGTAAATTGATTTGGAGTTATCTCATAAAGAAAAAAATCCATCCACACATATTAAAAATAAGTTTGCCAATTTCCGCGCAAATGTTGCAGTAAAGTCGGCCGGTGGCTATTGTAACCAATGTATAGGCATTCGCGATTCTGCGGACCTATTTTCTCGAAATTTCCTGCACAAATGAAGAAAAATACTGAAAAATTTAAAGAAAGTGTACAGAAAATATAATTAATGTTTCAGTAATAATTTTATAATCAATATATCAATCCACTTAAGTAACTTACTGCAGATTTTGGCAGTCCTTTGACTAGACAGTTTAGCTAGCACATTATTACTGCTCATGTTTTTCTTTTTTATATTGTGTATATCTGTTAAATTAACAGAAATTTGTAACTTTCTTTAAAATATTCTTAACAATTGAAACTTTCCAGCAAATACGGTTCGGTTGAATTTTTTACCTTGCACCTTTTTTTTCCTTACTATCCCTTTAATATCTATTTTCTTTTTAATATTGTTTCATCATTTTTCTTATTTCATTTTTGATACTTACCTTTATTCTTTTAGTTTTTTAAGTGTCATTTTTTTCCACCATTTTACTTCATTTTTCTTTCCTTCCTTTTGTTATTTCTTATTTATTATTTTTCTTGTTTTTTTTTTTCAATTTTTAAAAATCTCTTCTCTTTTTCTTTCATGTCTTCTTTCTTGCAAAATAATCCATGGGGACAGTGTAGGTGTGGGTGGGTGGAGGTTTGTTAGGAAATATAAAAAATAAAATATTGCGCAGCGCTAATTACCTTAGGGGATGCGAAAAGGATGGAGAAATATGTGCTACTAAAAAAATTACTTGTGCTACCAAATTTTTTTGGAGGGTGCCTGAAAATTTTGGCAGTGCTACCAAGAAAAAAAAAGTTAATTTCAAGCAATGATATACAATAAAGAAGAATTATATGAATCTATAACCATATCACAGACTTTTCAAGTTCGTAATAAATGCATTTTCCGTGACTATAGCTTGGTTCACGTCGAACTTTTATCTAAATATACATCCACTTAACTAGTTAAAAGTTCGACGTGAACCACTCAATTATAGCTAGTTAAAGGAATTAAGTGACTTAAGTTAAGTGACTTAACTTTACTAGAATAACGGTAACTTAACTTGCTTAACGGTAAAGTCGGCTCGGATTACAAGGACACGATTATGTAACGTAGGCATCTAAGCTAGCTTTGTTGTATTGTACCACCATTATCATCTGCTGGCTGGCAACAACGTACTTCAACAATGCTAACAACAGCATCGAAGTAGTCTCATTAGTCTGGTTTTCATAAATTATTTGTAATATTTTGGGTAAACACCCAGCAACGTCCGTTTTTACGAATAGTCGATATTACCAATGACCTTTGCCCTTTGCATCATCGACCAAGTAATAACGTTAAAATGTCCGATTGCGTACGTTTTTCAAAGTGATAATGTATATTTTTCTTAATAATAAAATCAGATTTGTTGTATTTATTTATTGACAATTCAATCTTTTCTATTTCTGCTATAATAGTCGCTATTAATTCAATTTCAACGAACTACCACCAACGCCAGTCGTTAGAATGAGCGCACATGTTTACGATGACGAAATAAAAAAGTGTGTGGAAGTCAGCGACTTATTTGACACCGCGAAGCTAGATTTTCGCGAAGTGCATGTAATCAACACAATTGAGCGAACTACAAAACAGGACGGAAAGGTCCATAAAGTATACATACGATTTGATGAAAATTAAAACAATATTTTGTTAAATGGAAGAATGCTGGCTAGCGATTAAAATAATTCGTTTTTTATCGAAGGTAAATGTAGCTAGAGAATCTGCCACTTATATTTCGATAGAACACGCTGCTGCACTGGTCGTTGGTTCAGCAAGTCGGCAAGGTAGAGGAAACACACACCTTCTCTACAGTAGTTCAGGGACGTAGCCAGGATTTTGAAAGGGGTGGGGGGAGCCGTTATGCGAATTACGTATGACCACGGCGGGGTCAAGGGGGAGCAAATCCCCCTGTGAAGTAGCGCACACTGAACGCTCTCAGGACTGTTTGAGAGGATAAAGTGAAAATTGCAATAGACGCATTATAAATAAGCGAAAAAATAATTATATAATAAATCAACAGTGGCAGATCAAGGAATTCGAAAGAGAGGTGAACCAGAGAGGGACTTTCACAGACCGAGGAACCACCCACCTCAGCCCCACCATGGTTGGGGCTGAGGCAAGAAAATTTATGATTAGGGAATCTCTAGATTGCCGGAAATTACACTCTCGCACTTCAATTTGAATACATTTTTCCTTTTTTTTTCTTAAAAAAATGAAGGGGGGTGCCTTGAATCCACCTCTGCTCAAAACATTCTTTATCCAGAATAGTCATAATCACGAAAAATGGACATGAAAAACCAGATCACATCCTAAAAACAAACAGCAGTCACTAAAACATACATCAGGAGCCGACTCGATGGAGTTTAATGCCCATACCCAGGGAAGGGCACAGATCTGTTTTGAAAGGTGGAGGGGGAGGACATTTTGTAAGACGACACCCACCCCAGCCCCACAATGGTTGGAGCTGAGGTGAGAAAATTTGAGGAAATAGTACCTCTAGATGGCCAGAAATGACACTTTTAGTAAAATTCATCATCATCACATCACCATTAGTCAAGACGAAGCGCCAAAAGAAATTCTCATGATCTTTTATCAGGGATTTTTGACAACCATAGAGATCTTATTAATGTGTGTGTATACACCATAGAAAACAAAGCTTAAAAACATTGTCTTTGAGTATGTACTTTACATAGGCCTACTTCAAAAACATGATTCCACAACCACCTAAGCCCCACCATGGCTGGGGCTGAGGTGAGAAAATTTGAGGAAATAGTACCTCTCGAAATGGCCGCAAATAACACTTTTATATAGTAAAATTCATCATCATCACATTACCATTATAGTCAAAATGAAACGCCAACAAATTTCTCATGATCTTTTATCAGGAATCTACTTAATATCCAGGACGACTTAGGCCTAATTATAGGTTACTAAGCTTTAACTATATATACTATAGTATGATCCACAAGTCACCAACTTTTTTTCGCATTTAGCACAATTTTCTTCACTTTTTATTGCTATTAATATTATTATCAATTATTACTATCGTCATTATCATCATTGTTATTATTATTATTACTATTAGTAGTAGTATTAATAAATAAAGATCTTTTATCAGGGATTTTTGACAACCATAGAGATCTTATTCTTATTAAATCTAGATGTGTATAAGAGACAGGTGTAGGTGTGGGTAAGTGGAGGTTTGTTAGGAAATATAAAAAATAAAATATTGCGCAGCGCTAATTACCTTAGGGGATGCGAAAAGGATGGAGAAATATGTGCTACTAAAAAAATTACTTGTGCTACCAAATTTTTTTGGAGGGTGCCTGAAAATTTTGGCAGTGCTACCAAGAAAAAAAGTTAATTTCAAGCAATGATATACAATAAAGAAGAATTATATGAATCTATAACCATATCACAGACTTTTCAAGTTCGTAATAAATGCATTTTCCGTGACTATAGCTTGGTTCACGTCGAACTTTTATCTAGATATACATCCACTTAACTAGTTAAAAGTTCGACGTGAACCACTCAATTATAGCTAGTTAAAGGAATTAAGTGACTTAAGTTAAGTGACTTAACTTTACTAGAATAACGGTAACTTAACTTGCTTAACGGTAAAGTCGGCTCGGATTACAAG